GCTAGCTTTGGGCGTAAGATCCTTCAGGCAGCTCCTTAGGCTGCAGGAAGTCCCCAGTTCTTTAATGTGTTCATGGGCCCGTTATTGTTTGTTTGTCGAGATTCCCACCACACAGTTGGACAGCTTTGGACTTACCATAAAATACCTTTCCTGGAGTCCATTAAGGGACACAGGTTCACACCATTCTGTGTTTATGATCATGCTCTTGGTACTGCTGGGTTGGCCTACATTTTTCTATTATTGTTATTTTTGTCAGCGTCCAATCTTCTTGTAGGTGGCAGTATAACCCAAAGGTTAAAGACTTCCTGTGTCCCTCAACGGTCTCCAAGAAAGGATTTTACAGCGAGTAGAAAAATGATGTATTTTCTTTTAAGTTACCCAGTCTGTGTTGATGAAGGTGCAAGGAGATTGTTCATATGACAGCTTTGCAGAGCATCTATAGTTATGGGTTTGTTTGTTTGTTTTCTTGCCTTCATATTCTGAAATAGGTTGCTTGGTAAAAAAAAAAAAAGATTCCTTTCTACACATACAGATATATGTCTAGAAGATTTTGTATTGTAAATGTTTAAGGGTCTAAAATTATCAATGACCTGTTGATGTTCAATAGGGTTAAGGATGCTGTGATTGGCCGAGTGATTTGGCTGTAAAAGGGTACAGACTCCTCTGAACAATTAAATCTTTTTGTTTCCTTCTCTTTGAAATGCTGGGCATTTATGTGCTTACAGTACAATGGAGTGGCTAATGACTTAGGATAATGGTAGCCAGGCTGCTTTTCCCAGGCAGCTGTGTCAATTCTTGGGATTAGAAAGCCCCTTACACAGTAAAATAATATGATGTGTAAATGTCTCTGTCTATCCATCCACCTCAAAATGACCATTTGTCTATTTGTATTGATCTTTTCATTAAACAAGGCAGAGTTGGCAAAGTATAATTATCATATGAAAGGGAAAATATGCAAGTGTTTAATTTGCTTTATTTCTTATTAAAGTGAAACTTGCATCTTTCCACTCCAAAGATTGCTGCTTTCTCATATCCTTACACATATTCTTTAGGTATATATTTTAGAATTGCCACAGGATTTGGCCATTTTAATTTCTTATTTGATTCTGTATATGAAGATTTTGCTCGACTCAAGTTTTGTGGGCTGCTGTGAGATGTGCTGTGCATGACAAACTGTTAGGATTATAATGCCCATTTATTTCTGTACTCATAGGTCTCATTAAAGGAGAACTATGGGGTCAGTGTTTTTCCCCATAGTTCTCAGGGTAACGGGAGGACACAAACTAGCGTCCTCCCGTTACCATAAGCTCTGTATACCGCGAGCTACAGCTCCCGGTATACTGAGACGCCACAGCCGGAGCGGATCCTGACTTAGACAACGGGATCCGCCCAGCTGCGTGAGTGACAGCTGGCTCTGCCTATCTTGAGGCAGAGCCAGCTGTATCCGCCCCCTTCCCCGTCCCTTCCGCCAGTCTGCGCTGGCAGATCGGAGCAGGGAGAGGGGAATCCAGCCCCTCCCCCTGTCACGGCAGACAGCCGTGACAGGATCGAGAGGTGAGCGAACCCGGTATGTGTTCGCTCACCTCCCGATCTACTGAGCCGACCTGTGACAGTCTCATTGTCACAGGTCGGCTAGAACTATGAGGTGAGTGAAAAGCACTCACCTCATAGTTCTCCTTTTAAGATTTTTTTTGGGGCAGGGGTGTTTTGCAGTGCATCTATGCGCTGGGGTTGTATGTGAGTGGGCCATGGGGGTCAGAAGGGACACCTCAAATTAAAACCATGTTAAAAAGAGGAAAAGAGACTCATTAGATATAAATTAGACAGTAAAGGGGTTCTGAGTACAGTTCCTGCTACGACCATTGGCTACATGTAATTTGTTCAACTTTTTCTGTATGCTGTAATTTGCCTAAAGTATACCATTGAATGTTCATGCAGAGCAAATCATTAGGGTCACTTTAATGTCCCCCTCCCCTGTTGCAAAGGGTAAGTAGGACCAGTGTAAGCGCGGGTTCGGATCACCAGTCAGAGCTTGCACTGTGCTGACTGTGCAGAAGAAAAACGCTGAGCACAGCATCAAGACACAAGGTAGTTATACTGCATCAGCAAAGATTTCAAAGCTGACTGGGGTTTGAAGATCTGCTGTTCAAGCTCTTTCAATGAAGCACAAAGAAACGGGCAACGTTGAGATCCATAGACTCAGTGGTTGGCTAAGGAAACTTAATGCAGCAAATGCATGAAAACATAGGAACTGGGGTGCAGATAAATGGAAGCAGGACCTCCTGGACTGATGAGTCAAAATGTGAAATCTTTGGCTGTAGCAGGAGGCAGTTTGGTTGCCATTTTGTTAATTGATCAAAATAAACTATAAACGCTTATTTCTGAAATCATTCTTACTTTACAGCATTCTTTCACACCTGCCTAAAATTGTTGCACAGTAGTGTGTATATACACACACACACACACACACACTACTGTGCAACAATTTCTAAAATGACAGCAGGTACTCTGGACTGATGAGTTAAAATCCGAAATATTTGGCTGTAACAAAAGGCAGTTTTAGAGAACAGTTCAAAAATGACTGTCTGAGGGCAACAGTGAAGCATGGTGGAGGATTCTTTCAGGTTTGGTGCTGCATTTCAACACATGGAGATGGGGGATTTGGTCAGAATTAATGGTCTCTTCAATTCGAAAAAGTGCAGGCCAACATGTATCCATCATTTGATACATTAGGGAAGCATCTGATCAGCCCAAATTAATTCAACAGTAGGATAATGAGCTCACACATACAGGCAAATTCATAAAGCAAAAAGTACTGGAAGAGCCAGCACAGAGCCCTGATCTCACGATTCACTGAGTCTGCCTGAGATTACACGAAGAAGCAACTGAGAGAGCCTAAATTCACAGATCTGTGGTTAGTTCTACTAGATGTTTGGAACAAACTACCTGCCAGGTTCCTTAAACTGTGTGAGAAGTAATGATCTTTTCAAGGCAAAAGGTGGATATACCAAATATTTATTTATGCACTTGGCGTGTGTGTGTGTGTATGTGTGTGTGTGTGTGTATACACACACAGTATATTGCTGTGCAAAAGTTTCATAGGTCCAGAGTACCTGCTGTCATTTTCTTGCACACCAGTTCTTCAGTCACTTGACCTTATTTCCATGTTGGAGGTATGGCTATCTAGCCAAAAGTCTTCCTGAAGACTACTTATGACTTGGCTTCTCCGAATTTTAGATGGGGCTACCTGGGTCCCACTGATTTCTGCCAAGTCTGAGCTAATAGTGTCACTGGGCATCTTTCAATTGGAAAGGGAAGTGACAGTGATGCATCTTTTATCTGCTATACTAAGTTTTCCATGGCCAACCATTACATTTTTGGTCCTCCCTTAGTGCCTGCTTTTTGGCCTTCTGCAGAAGAGCTTGGACAGCACATCTGGAAACACTTGTCTTCCTTAAACTTTCTGCCTATAAGAGACCTTGTTGATGCAGTAAGACCACCCTGTGTCTTGTTGCTGTTCGCAGATTTGGTATTGTGTAGGATTGTGTAAGAGTTTTACATTGAAGTGTCCTCAGAGCATGACTGTAGAACATGACTCTCCAAGTTTCAATCCTCCTTCACAGCTGGTTTTTACTTAATTATATTCCTACCTACATTGTTATATTGTTGATCATTAGCACTTGTTTAGTATAATTGTTTACAGTCCACTTTTTAAAAAAAATGCATGCACACATATTCATAAAATTGAAAATGTGCATCTTATTTATTATGTTTTGTATTGGAGCCATTAAAGCATTGCAACTGCGATCAGTGGATCATGGGTGCAATGCTCTGGCTCCTGCAGACTCTTCCTGTCCATACCTTGGTATGGACATTCAGTAACATGAACGGGAGGAGGTGCCAGTGATGTCACTGCACTTGTATTCAATTGGGAAATACAAGTCCCTCTGCCGCAGTGGCAGGTGGGAATGTAGCTTCTTCATTCGCAGATCCTGTAAAAAAAAAAAACAGCAGCAGCCTGTGGGGGGGGTCAATGAGATTTAATTTTTTAACACTTATTTTTTTACTTTTTCAAATTTTTATATCTTTTTATCCTTTCATTTTTTTATTTTTGTTTTACTTTTTTATCACATTATTATTTTTTACTTATTTTTTTCTTTTGTATTTTATCATTTTTTTTATAATTTTTTTTATTTTACTTAACTTTATTGCTATAACACAGGAGCTAACAATCCCCGGTGTGATAGTATTTGGAGGTGACAGGTTCTCTTATCCTGTTACCTATCGGCGAGATCACTTGTAAACAAACAAGCGGCTTCTTCGCTCTACATTTAGCCCTGCTTGCTCAAAGCAGGACTAAATGTAGAAAACTACGCCCGAAACTGCATGTCTCCGGCGTGGGACGACAGGAATTCCACACCCCTGCCGCCCGAGGTTGGGCCTTGGTTGGCCTTGTGGGAAATCCGGCCCTGCCTGTAGGTAGTGTTTGATTAATTTGCAGATTTAGATGTACTAACAAGTGAAATCCAATCATTCTCTAATGCTTTTTAAGCAATTACAGCAACACTTTTGTTTTTTCCCCCCTATTGGGATGAAGGTTTAATGTAAATGGATAAAAGCTGACCATTGTGAACACCCCGGTCAGTGTTAAATGGTTTGTCTCAACCCTCTAGCTGCCACTCCTGCTGGACAGCTTGGTCTGCTAAAGCAAGTTGAAAAATCGCAGACTTAGTGGCCGGATCACTAGTTAAAAAAATAAAGGGGAAAAAAATATCCTAAAAAAAGAAAACGAATGCGGCCACACGTTTAGTGATTAGTAAGTTGCAATATGTTACATTTTTGCTTTTAGGTTTTGATCCAGATGTACCAATAATGGTTGCAACCTTCCGGCCTTTCTCCTTATGTGCTTGCTTATTTGTTGACAGAAATGTAAGACAAATATGAGGTTGCGGAAGAAAAAAAAACAATAACTGAAATTTTCTTTTATTTTTTTTGTCCAGCTGAAGATCCATCAGAAAATTTTGTCAGGCTCCGAGACTTTGTTCTTGCAAAGCTTTGCCAGAATCTGCCATGCTTCTCTCCTGAAAAACTTCTTGAAGGGTTCAGTCAAGAAATGGTGACAGAGGCTCAACAGAAACTCAAGATAAATAAGGTACTTTAGCTGTAGCATTGCCTGTGATGATTTGCTGAGCACAGTATTACTCTTTACATTGACATGCTGTTGACTCGGACAAATTCCTAAACCCTGAACATTTCCCCCTTCCTCCTGACATGAATGCTGCAGACTATTCCATATGATTATCTGGCTTTCATGGGAATTTAGCTTACTCTCCTCGAAATGTTGACATATAGTGGGAAAAGCATGAACTTTCAATTCTGATACAAAATAAAAATATACATTATGTACTCTTTGAATTTCCTTAAATGGATAGGAAAACTGGAGGAAGTATGCTGCACTCTACCTGCAGGATTCTATATGGTCTGTGCTAGAAGTTGCCATATTGGCTAGCATTAAAGGAGTCCTAAAGTCCCAGCATTGTAATAGGAATACATACTAGAGTTGTCTTTGATAATGCAATCAAAGCTAGAAAAAATCCCTGCCTTCTGTCTGCCCATCACTTTCAATTAATTCCTTGATTTCCAGTGGGCTTTGCATCTCTCTTTCCCCGCTGCTTGATGTGATGCAATCTCGATTTCTCAGGACTACATAACCCATCATGCATTGCTTCCAGCAAGCAATGATTATGTTACATTGTTCAGATGTTGAGGATAATCATAAAGTCTGATAGGGTTAAACAGAACGCCGGGAGTCTGCTCAGCTTTGTAGAGACTGCGGCTGGCTTTACAGTAGAAGCAATTCTGGTGGCATAGCGCCTGAAGCCCATATAAGCTATTGAAGTGCGATCTGCACTTCAATAGCTTATTTAGAGTGTAAAGGTGACACTAGGGGGTCTGTTGGACCCCCAGCATCACCTTAAAGAGGACCTGTCACCACCAATATGCTATCACATGGGAGGCTTGTAAGCCCCCCTATGTGATAGCAATTAAAGTAAAGTTTAAAAACCTGTTTTAAAAAGAATAAATAATTTAAATGTAAAAATAATTGTAAAAAATGTTTTAAAGTTCCCCTCGAGCAGACGATTGAGCTGCACATGTTGGGTATCGCCGCTCGCGCCGGAGTGTGAGCAATAATTCTAGGGCCAATAGTTACACATATCTCTAAACATAGACCTTCGTCTATGGACTTTTTGCGGTACTGAAATCTGTTGCAGTTTCACGGACGCACACAATTTTTATCCTGGGCATGTTGGGTATCTATTTACTTGTTGTAACCTCATCTTTTATATTTTACCCAAAAAATGGTTTTATATAGTGTTTTGGGGTACTAAATTTTACTTAAGCTAATTTTTTACTACATTTTTGGGTTTGATAATAAGTTCGCTAATGTCGTGCAACATAAAAATTTGCAACTACCAACATTTTATTCTATAGGGTCTTGGCTTTCAGAAAATATATAATGTTTGGGGGTTTTATGTAATTTTCAGGCCTAAAATGTGGTGACAAGGGAGCATGAAACCGGCTTTCTGGCCAATCAGGGTGCTGGGGGGGCAGATAATGACTTGCTGTCAGGCTTCCTGATTGGCCAGTTTCCCGTGCCAATCGGGAAGCTAGGCAGCGAGTCATTACAAGCTGCCCAGCTTCCTGATTGGCCAGGAAGCGTGTAATGACTCACTGGCTTCCTGATACTGGAAGTTTAGGCTTCGAAGTACTTGCCCAAATACTCGGTATCGATACCTATGCTAGTATCAGTGCATCGCTAAAATTCAGAGTATACACAGGTTCACCTTATTTTACTGCCATTCACTTTGCAGAGTGAACAGCCTCTACTCTTATAGTAAAACAAGCCCAGTGTGGTGAAACCAGTATCTTTAGGGAAGGAGGGTGGGGCGCATCTCGTAGCTTAAGGATGTGTGTAAATACATTCTTCTAGAAGGCAGTCTGTAACATTAACGCAGAGCTTTACCACGTATATATTATCTACAGTGCCAAGTACCACTCAAGATACGTGTCCCAGAAATTGAGAAACACATCCTTACTAAGTTATTTCCAGCATCCTTAAAGCTTTTTCTGCTGTTTTGTTGTTTCATAGCTATATTTCTGCCAAATGCCTTTTTATAAAATTCTACTGTGAAAAGAGAAAAGATTGTAACATTGTTCTATTGTATTGTTTGCCTATTTTAATCACTAGCAACATGCAAGACGTGTTTATGAAATTCTTCGACTTCGTGCAACAGACATGAGTGATCCTGAAAAATCCAGGGCTTACAGACTAGACATCAAAAAGAGACTTGTTGGCCCATATAAGGTATGGCTGTGTTTGCAGTCTCTATCATAGTTGTTTTGATGGAATCCTAATCTGAACTTTTTCTCATACCTTCTAGCCATATACTACTGGAGATGCCTGGTATTAAGATCAATAACGGTTATCACAGAGCATGTGTTTCGTGCTAAGCTTATTTACTGGGTAGCAGTATTGTTTGGACTCCTCCTGCTGCTGTATCCAGTCAATAGTACAGTTCCTTTAACCGTAAAGGAAGCAGGGTGTATAAGCGACTTCATTAACTATATTTGTTAAAGGAAATCTCCATATTTGTAAAAACAAAAAAACTGTGTTACACAGGTTATTGCTGTTAAAAATTAAGTATTAAAACCAGCTATAATTATTTAATCACTGCAAAAAAATTAAAATGATGGTAGTTTTCATTCACTTAGGCCCTGTTCACACCAGGGTGGTTCAGTCATGCGGATTTGTCAGCGCTGAACCGCTGACATGAACAACCCCATACATTCCTATGGGGACTGTTCATGCAATCATGCGCCTTTGCACGATCTGAACCGCCTCCCACCCAAGATGCTCCCTGAGCGCAGATTCCATATAGATTTCAAAGTAAACGCGCTGATCAATGGTTTCTTGTGCGTTTTTAATTGCATTTCAGTGCTGAAACGCAAATAAAAACCGCCCTTTTAAAATTCGTGCTGAAACGCATCCGCACTGGTGTGAATGGGGCCTGGGGCCAGCCATATCAACTGCTACTCTTCCTGTGTTGCAAAAATATATCCTCAACTGCATCTGAGACGGCATCACTAAATTCCAAGAGCGGAACAAGTACCCGTGTTTCCATATTTTGCGGTTCTACACAGGAATATGGCAGATGTACCAATATAAAATAAACTGTTTTTGTGTTTCCACAGAAAAATCAGAGAGAAATGGCCAAGATGAGAAGGTGTTTAAAACCAGAGGAGCTTACTAACCAGATGAACCAAATAGATCTGAAAACACAGCATGAGCAACTGGAGGAGAGCTATCAGGAGCTGGTGACTGAGTACAGGAGGACAGTGGAAAGGCTTGCCCAAGTGTAGATCTTGTCAGTGCTCTTTAAACTTGTCTCAACTACTTTACAGCCTGATGTCGCCAGTCAATCTGTTTCATATAAAGCCTACTGAGTACTATTAAAAGTACTGTCGCTGTATTCCGGACTTTAAATTCAGACGTGTGGCATTCAGTTGTAACCTGTTATTGGCGGTGGCATTAAACTGGTGCTTGCTGCTTAACCAAAGTCTATATACCGACACACACCGTTGGTTTCAAAACCACTTGTTGAAGATTGCATTATCTGGCGGGTGCCTTTGTTTTGAAGGGTCAAAATTGATCTTTAGGCAAAATGTTTTTTTGGTGACTTTGTATAATTCTGAGGTTCTTCATTCATCATTGTTCGCATCCGTTTTCACATGTAAATATATCATGTACTACTCACCCCGGCTCATTTTTCCTATAAATACACATCTCTGGTTTTCTGTGCTCTTCAGCTGTTTTATTTTTCTAGTTGACTAAATTGAAATGTCTGTATTATTCAGTAGCACTTAAAGCTAAAAATAAAAAGGAAGAAAAGTAATTTTATGCGCTTGTGTTTTCTTCGTAATACATTTTTCCTAAATTACAGATTTATAGAAGAAGAGAAAACACTGCTTTCAAATTATACATACAATAAATGTGACAGTAGACATGAGAGTCATATTTTTTTAAATAATACGTTTATTGATATCAATACATGTTACACAGAGATAAAATACTGTAAGCCTTGAGATAGAAACAGAGACATGCACTGATATCTAAATGGGAAAATGGATACAATATTTTTTTGATTTATAAATAGTGCAACGTGTACATCAGGAACAACAAAGAGAAACAAGGAAAAAAAATGATAGTCATTGTGCAATGATATAAAGTTAAGTGCATCAGACAATATTTTCCAATAAAGACAAGTTTTCCCATGCGAGTCTCATGTTTTTATCTGGAATATGATACAAAGATGAGGTACAAGGTACAAATATGTGCTAAGATTTTATTACTAAAATGGTATCAAGAGTTTTCACAAGAATCAACACAACTGATCCATTTTCTCCAGTTTTTCTTATGTTTGTAAGGCAAACATTTGGGCCTCATAAGTTATTTTATATAGGGATGTAACAATGAAAAAACATAAGGGAGTGCTACAGCCTGATCTGATGGAGTCTGAAAATGTGACAATGTTGAACGAAAACTAGCTGTGGGATGGCAACAGTGTATCTAACGGTATACGAGGGTAATGGAAGGATGATGTGTGTGGGAAACACGAAAAAAAACATATGAGCGCCACTGCTTAAGGATTTAAAGTGTGAAAGAAGTAGCAATGTTGCCTTATGGATGTTACAAACTTGCTAATTTGTGGCAACAAATGATGTTAATCTGCATGGGAAATGCTGTCAAGAGTGTGTGGGTGGATGAGCAGGAACTGCCAGAATGGAGATGGGAATTTTGCTAGGGAGAACTCAGAATTGAATAAATAAAGAACATAAAAATGAGAACTTTTAACTAAAGGACACTTACATAGAGGTGTATTGCCAGAAGTCTTCTGTTGGTTAGCAGTATGGATGGAGCTGCGGCGGCTGAGTCTGCTGGCAGTGGAGTAACGGCAACCAGGTCCAGTGGAGCGATGTCTGCTGGTGACAGTTGGAATTTAGATGTACAGGCACAGTGGAGGGGTCCGTCTTTGTAGAAAAATGTTACATAGTTACATAGTATTTGAGGTTGAATAGACATATGTCCATCAAGTCCAACCCATTGTGTGTGTGTGTGTGGGTGTAAAGATCCTCGCGTCATCTCGTTTTTAGGAGTACTTGTACCCCTGTATATTACCGTTTCTCAGGAAATCGTCCAAAAGCCTCTTGAATGATTCCAGACTATTAGCTGAAATCACTTCTTGCGGCAGTGAGTTTACTTGTTAAGCTCCCTCAACTCACGCTGTCTGTCCAGAGTGGACCGTACCACGGATGTCCCTCGGCCAGCTGGGCAGACACCGCTCTCCCAAGCTCTCCTGGATCTGCCCACGTCTCCTGTGTGTACAGCGCGAGCACCGCTTGCTTAATGCTGTTAGAGCAGGGGTCTCAAACTCAATTCACTCGGGGGCCACTCAACACATTTTTCGAGGGCCGTTTGCCAAATGTCATACTTTTAAAATAAAATGTAATTATATCCGGTATGGTACTGCGGACACTAATATGCTCGCGATAAGGCCCCATTCATATCGGTAGGTTTAGGTGCGATTAGGGATTCCTGCATCAGGAACTTGCGTTTTCCTGAAGCAGGAAGCACTAATCTGGTGTTTACAAGCGGCCGATGTTACCCGTTCATGATCAGGTGAGAGCAGCTCCATGTAAACGCCTGCACACCACATGTAATGATGTGATATTACATGCGGTTAGAAAACTCCCTGGATGCACAATAGATGCATCCAGGGAGAATGGTTTGATTCCTAACCAAATGTAATCATATTGCATATCATTACATGCGATGTGCAGGTGTTTACATGCAGCGGCTATCACCTGATCATTAACTTGAATGGCTGATAGCTTTAAACGCCAGATTAGGCATTCCTGACGCAGGAATCCCTAATTGCACGTAAAGATACAGGTGTGACTGGAGCCTCATACACACAAAAAATACTACCCCTGCACAAATAAAATAATACACTCCCCCCATGTACATCTAAATTCACACACACACAATAATACAATTCCCAGTACCTCCCCCCCCCCCTGGCATGTAAAATAAAATACAAAGCCCCCCTCCTGCTTACCTTTTTGCTGTGAGGAGGCACAATCGCTGGTGATTGATTGGTAAGGTCTGCTGCAGACCTTTCTAATCAATCCAAGTGCAGCACCAAAGCAGCTCTGTGGTCTGCATCAGTCAGAGATGCAGAACGTGCAGCTGCTCCCACAAGTTGGGTATGAGGTCCGTGACCGCGCACCTGACTTGTGAGCTGGCTGCAGGCCACATGTGAGCTGGCGCAATTGGCCCACGGGCCGGTACTTTGAGACCCCTGTGTTAGAGGATTTGTGAATGAGAGCGCTGGGCAGTCTGTGGTACGGTAATGAATGCTGCTGAGGATCAATGTGATGGGAATGAGGTGTCTGCGGAGTGGAGGTTGTGTCACCATATTATCAGATCTGTTTGGCCAGCCTCGATGCCAATTGGCTGGAAAGCTGGCTTCCCCGCCAATCAGCATTGAGCCGCCCAAACAGAATGGAGTCGGCTTCCAGGGCAATCATGAAGCCAGGCGGTGGGTAATGACACGCCGCTTGGTTCCCTGATTGCCTGGCAAGCCGGCTCTATGCTACCGGAAGTACCGGTATCGGTACAATGTATCTGCGAGTACCAAAATATACATATTGGTACTCGTTCCCAGTTTGGTCTTGGGCCACAAGCCTAAGCTGAAAGTACTTGAAGTAATGAGTGTTATGGACTCCCAATTCTTGTATAAAGCTGGCCATACACCTTACAATTATCTGCAGATTTTCTGTGGTCAGGTGGAAAAGGTGCAACAGATTCCTCCATCTACACTTAACTGTGTGGCTGGAGTAATCTCCACCTGGGCCAATCTGTTGCACTTTTTCCATCTGACCACAGAAAATCTGCAGATAATTGTAAGGTGTATGGCCACCTTATGTGTGGGGAAACGATTTAAAGGATCCTACCTGAGCCCACTGAAAACCATTGGGAATAGATTGAAGTTGGGGGAGTTTGTACCATGTTAGGGGAGCTATATTGGCTGGAACCTGAATTTAATAGAGAGGCATTGTTAATAAACCTTTAATAACACGGATAGAATATAGTAGTACAATCTTTTATTGTGCCGATTGTGTATTATAAATAAGGTTTGTTAATGTTTCGTATGATAACACTACTGTGGCCTCTGTGGCTGTATTATTAGTTGAGGACATAGCCACCATTTCTTTATCGTACAGGACAATTCGGTAATATGCAGGTATCAGGTTACTGGAAACTGGCCAAAGCTGTGAGGACCCTCGTATAACCCCCCCAAAGTAGGATTTCCTTGTTATTTTCCTAGTGTCCTTAGGTGATAGATGTCTCCTCTCCACTGAGGAATATGTGTGGTAGTTTAGTTAGCTTTATTTTTTCTACGTTCCTTCAATCAAGTGTCTTCCTATCGCTGTCTATGGTCAGAGCAGCAAACTTGCAGCTTATGGATGGAACTGTGCCCCATGACAAAAGCTTCGGGAACAGTACTCGGGCCACACAGGATATGGGGCTGGCCTGTAATGCAGCTTCAGACACTGGATCCAGTGTCAGGTGCCCACCCTGACATGTGGTCCAATGCGTTAGTAGAGCTGCAGGGTGCTATACAGGTCCTCAATGGCGTATCTGCACTAGTGTGACCCCGTCTGTGAAGACTCCTTCAAGGGTATGTTTGTCCAAAGTGAGTGAAGCCAAGAGTCCGCGGACATTCCCCATTCCCTCGTTGGTTATCTGACGCCACCTGAAGCAGTTTTATTTTAAGCATTATCAGGGACAACAGAGACCCTCTTTAACCCTTTGGTGCTGGCATTGTGAGTACCTGTTGGGTACTCACTGTTGCACAAATATCATGCAACAAAAAAAACTATTTTTTTTTTAAGGGCTGTGTTCAGAAAATATTTGGGGGGCTATTCATAAAGGAGCTGAAGGATCCAGCCATAGCTTCAGCTGATCCTTTGGCTCTCTTCGGCCGCCGGAGCCCTTTGGTTCAGTCGAACCGAAGGGCTGCTGTACGGGCTATTCACTTTAGCCCGTACAGCAGCCGAAGGCATTTACTCTGGCTCGACTGAACCGTAGTGTCAGCCGAAGCGGGGCAAAAGGCCTGCCAAAGAATGGCCTTTCGCCCTGCAAAAGACAGCTGGGTGAAGCCATAATAATGGGTGGAGCGGTAATCTCACGGCCTGGCTCCGCCCAGTTATAATGACAGATCAGCGTCCCCAAATGAACTGGGGACGCTGAACTGTCATAAAACAATAACAACTGGGCGGAGGCGGCTGTGACGTCACGGCCGGCTCCTCCACCCAGTTGTTATTCATTGGCCGGGACCTGCTAGAAGACTCTGGCAGGTACCGGCCAATAGGAAACAGTTGGGCGGAGGTAGCTGTCATTGCTAGCTCCGCCCAATAGTTTTTTTTGTTTTAAAAAAAAAATCTTTATTTTTTTAATTAAAGGGGTTCTAAACAAGCAGTAGATAGTTGTTTTTTTTTTAAACACTTAAACAGCGGTTTAGACTGACCTCATTATCGCGGCGAGAGTCCAGAACTGTTCGTGCGGCCGCAAAGGATCTTGGGGCGGGCGCATGCGCAGTTCGGATTCTCGGCCGGGAGACGAGCAGAGACGCAAGGAAAGTCTATGGACGCGTCCACCCGCCTGCAGACACCGCTGGATCGGAAGTGCCTGTAAGCAGCGAGGATTCCGCGCTGGATCGGAGAGCCGCCGCACCGCTGGAGGGACAGATGAAAACATCAGGAAAGAAGAAGATGATCAGATTAAGAGACATCATTTAAGGTAAGTGCTGACATTAACATGGAGGGGGAGGGGAAAATGTTTTATCCTTTAATGTCACGATATTTACATTTCAAACATCTTTTTTCAACTTTTTTCATTGATTTGCTATTCTGCTCAGTACCACGGAGGCACCGAGCACAATAGCCAAGCCGAATGCCGCTCGGTTGCATTTGGCTATTCACTCACTGCCGTTCGGCCCCTAAGAGAATAGGGGCGAACGGCAGCGAGTGAGCAGCCGGAGCTTCGGCTCAGCCGATCCAGATTTTGAATCAGCCGTGCAAGCCAGAAGTGAATAGCCGAACGTTGTTCGGCTCACTTCACTTTGGCTGGGTTAGTCACTCGGCTGCTTTCGGCAGCTTTGTGAATAACCCCCTTAATGTTCTCGGGGTTTGAGTAAATTTGTAGCCAAAAATGCAGATTTTTGTAGTGTGCAAAAAATGAAGAAATACAGTATGACACTTTTATAGTTTGAATACATTTTTGAACTACAGTTTTTATTTAACTTTTTTTTTAACTTTTTTTTATTTTGATTAAAATGTATTTTATTAAAATTTTTGTTTAACTTTATTTTTTAAAACTTTTTTTAAATTATTATTGTAATGCTGGGAGCAATACCCAGCCTGCTATTTGATACTTTAAAATGCAACAGCCAATAGTAGGCTGGCTATTGCACCCGCCCACTGCGGGTAGTTCTCCATTAGGTCCTCCTCTGCTTATTGACAGCAGGCAGTGGGTGGGTGCAATAATTAGCCTGCTATTGGCTATTGCATTTTAAAATATCCAATAACGGGCTCGGGCTGGGTATGACTCCCAGCCGCTAGCTGCAGAGGAGGAACGGCGGTAGCGGAGGGAAGGGGGGCGAGGCTAAAGCGGCACTGGGTGGGTACCGAGGCAGAAAGGGGTTGTTCTATCAAAGTTTGTGACTGCGTTAGAATGTGTGACCGTTGATGAGGTCACACATACTAACATAATCCCGCCCAGTTTTTCGACGGTGGAATGGGTGTGACTACGTTAGAATGTGTAACCACTTGACCGGTCACACATTCCACTGCCGAAAAACTGGGCGGGATTATGTTAGAATGTGTGACCACATCACCGGTCACACATTCTAACGCAGTCACAAACTTTGATAGAACAGTGGCAACAACTAATCGATGTTGAGAATCGCTGTCAACGATTCTCATTACCGATTATAATCGATTCGTTGTTGCAGCCATAAATATAGGACAGATTTCACTCTAATATTAGATGTTTATTTCCTTCTAAGGCATTGGATTTCGGTACGACCCTCCCAATCAGATTCATCTCAGATGTGCAATTTACTAAAAATAGCAATTAGCAATGTGCCTCCCCTTCCCTCATAAGTGTATGGCTAAGGAAGACATTTCCTAGAATCGAAATTTGAGATAATCAGCTGTTTGTGTAAATGCCTCTAACTCGCACACATTATTACTGACACAGTAGCCAAGCTTTGCGTTTTATTTTTTGGGCCCAGCACCGCTCCGTCGCCAGCGATCTATTTTCCCACTTGTGGGCGGTCCCCAGCGGCGGAGACAATCTCTTCCGCCAGTGAGCGACGGCCAATCGGTGCTTTCGGGTCTATAGCACGTGACGGACACCTGACTGGAGCTGCCGATCACGATGCTGGCGTCTAGAGCCCTCCGCTGCATTGTGCAGAGAGGTAAGAGGCGGCGGAGGGGACAGAATACCGAATGTGCTGTACAAATAGTTCCAGCGGAGGAATTGCGCTTGCTGTGTGCACACGTGACTCACATGCCCTAACGTCAAATGTGAAACGCTGCCTACACGCTGGTCACTTTAGTATTTCCCCATATTATAATGTAGTGCCTGGTACTTTTGGTGTGTACACTTACAATGTTGTAGAGAGCTCTCCATCTGTAGTTTTGGAAGCTTTGAATAAAAGAAAAAACAAACAAACTTGAAGGCAGAGTCCACATTATGAAAAACTGTAATAAATGCTCCAACAATTATATAATATAAAAGGTGCATTTATTAAATGTTTGCATTGAGGCCTACGGAGTATTGCAACCTTGGCCAGTGCAGAGTGTCGCAGGTGCAATGAACAGGCTCTTGCATTGTTTACATCCAGCCCCAGGTCTGTATGGGGTTATGAGACTTCTGTTTTGGGGCTGGAGGAAGTTCTGAATGGAGGACATTTGCAGTGATGTCACCACCTTATGACCGCTGCGCTCTGCTGAGTCCCCCTACTACAGTGGCAGGCGGCAACGAGTGAATGGATGATGTAACTATGGAGCCACGCACCGCCGCGCCAAATTCAATACACAGCCACTACCAGGAGCTTCCTGCAAATCTATTTAGGAAGTGTTGTTGGGAGGGTGCAGGGGGGTTTGGTGTATGCAATCATGCTTTATGTTATAGCCTAAATATGGGGCAACATGAAACACGGTCTAGAAAGTGGACTATGCCTTAAAAGTAACCCTGCCTGTAAGTCAATTCAATGAAACTAGACACCTTGTAAAAGTTATAAGAAGCCTGTGTCTTAAAATGTTGCTGCCCTGCAGATCTCTGGCCTCTGCAGCTACCCTACACTTTTGGGTGTGTCGAATACCTGCCCCAACCCTAACTTCCTCCCTGTGATGCGTTAGAGTTCCTTTTACTACATCAAATGCCTGTTGACACTGCCAATCTTATGTTTCCTCTGATGGGGTGACAATGATGCTGCACTGCTCCTAAATTCAGAGCAGCGTTGTCACCCCATCACAGGAAGCTGGACTGTGCTGGCAAGAACTGGAATTTGTGAGACTTTACAGGGGGGCTAAGGAAAAACTGATGCACTTACAGTTAAAGGAGAACTATGAAGTGAGTGAAAGTCAGTCATCCTCATAGTTCTAGCCGACCTGTGACAATGAAACTGTCACACGTCGGCTCAATAGATCGGGAAGTGAGCGAACACATACCGTCGCTCACTCATTTCTCGATCATCTCTCCGCAGAGAGCCGTGACTGTCACTCACGGCTCCCTGCAGGGATTCCCCCCCTCCCCGCTCTGATCCTCCAGTGCTGACTGGCGGAACGGACAGGGAGGGGGTGGGCACAGCTGGCTCTGCCTCTAGATAGGCAGAGCCAGCTGTCACTCACGCAGCTGGGTGGATCTTGACAGTAATGTTGGGATCCATCCCGGCTGCGGCAGTCTCAGTATACCACGGGCTGTAGCTCGCGGTATACTAAACTTTGAGCCATGGTAGGACACTAGTATGTGTCCTTACATGACCCTGAGGAGAACTATGGGGAAAAACACTTACCCCATAGTTCTCCTTTAAGGGCTGCAGCACATCATTTTTAATCGGGGGCCATAATTCTACTTTTAAGAAGAACTGCAGGCAAACTTGTATTAACCCTTGCAGTGAGACTACCTCGCACTGCAGGAGTTAACTGCCTGCTTTGTTTGTCTAGGTGCTAAAAAAAAAAGTTATACTCACTTGAACTGCTGAGCGGGCTTGTTCTAATTAGAGCTGTCCTTCCAGCCTCTCTCCCCCTTCGCTGCAGCAGTTCTAAGGTCCCGTAAATCATCCCATTCTATGTACAGTGTATAAACGTGAGGACACTGAGGTGCTGTGCAGCAGCATAGGCGGAAAGAGGCTTCAGAGACCGGAGAAGAAGCAGCTGGCTCGGAAGTTCGGGTGAGTAGAGCTTGCACCTAGACAAAAATGAGCAGGTAACCCGTTCAGTACGGGGGTAGCCCCACTGCAAAGGCTAATAAAAGTATTGCCCGGAGTTCTTTAAAGCAGAAACTAAACGCTCCTCCCATCTCTCTCTCTCACCTGAGCCAATGTCTTCTTCTGAGCTCTTCGGCCATCTTAATTGGCCGGGTCGGAGTGATCTAACTTCTGGGCATGTGTGCGGCAATTCATATACTCTGGCACAGAGGAGTGGCGAGAATGTACACGGAACTGCACATGCGTTGCTCAGTGTACATTCTGTAGATCTGGAAAAACAGATCGCAATACAACGGATCAGGGGTGAATGGGCCCTAAATCGTCTGTGTAACCCTAGAAGAAAATGATAGTGATAAAGGCAAATGCTTTCTCTAGTTTTAGAGAGGAGGAAGTTAGAACCTCTGTAAAGTTTTCATTGCAGCCTGTGTCCCCGCTGACCATTGTCACCTGGACTAAAAGTGAGAAGAGAATGCAAATCTTTAAAGGGGAGGTTTTTCACTTGCTGCCTGTTGTGTTCGAGAATACAGGAAGTGAATGAAAATCTTCCTGATAGAGACACAAACACAAAGAGACACAAAGCAATAGGAGCCTGACAGAGGTTCTAGAATTCTCCCAATGTTACTATAAAGGTTTAGGCTGGAGTTCTACTTTATCTTCCTGTTCATTTTGGGCTGTAACATGGTGTCTCAGATAATGAATGTCTGTGTCATTTCCCAGCGATGTCCTGACTCTGCCTGCCTTTTGCCAGTTCAATCGGATGTTGCTAGAAAGGCATTGATTCATTGGGAGTGGGTGTGACATCTTATTGTAACCTTTCTCCTTTTATATTATTTTATTTTAATGGTCAGTGTCTCTTGGGGCCCCTGCGATCAGCCATTCTAGATGTTCTGTGGATATACGGTATATATAGTGGAAGTGATGGGCATACGGAAGGCAGCACTCACTATATAAAAGGGATTTTATCAAGTAAGCTTTGATTGCATTATGAAAAACAACTCCAGTATGTATTCCTATTACAATGCTGATGTTAGGGCTGGTTTCCACCAGCCCGCGCATCTACCGCAATGTCCCTTGCCCGGAACGCAAGGGATCGCATACATAAAGTCTCCATGCATTTTGGGGCGGGAGGGGGTATGGCAGTGCCATTCCAGTCAATGGCACTGCAGACACGTCCCCCCACAGTACGATCGGCCCACACAGGAATGCGTGGTAATAAAATGCTCTGCGTTCCAGTGCTGTGCGATCGCAAAAAATAGTGCACGCACTATAAACTATAAATCAGCCCCCCCAGTCAGCTGTCCCTTACACTTACTGCCCCAATGCCTGAAACATGTTAAAATAACCAGAACCTAACTGGGTCACTTTTCTGCCAGTCCCATACTTGACCATGTTCAGAGAGCTGAATATGAAGATAGATTTAATGGAGCTTTATTAGTAACATTAAAAAAAAGTAGTTATTGAATGAACAGAAAGGTGTACAATGAGATATTTGTGTTTATACTTGCCTGGACTTCCTCTTGGATCAGTTTTTTTTCTCTGCTTCTTTGCACATAAATGTGTGTGCAAATATTTTCATTTGGTTAGAACGATCTTTTTGGATCAGAGATGTTTTCTTATCTTTTAATTATCAGAGTTGGGGGGGAGGAGGCATTGTTCCAAGTCAGTGCTTTGATATGACTGTACCTGGCCTCTAATCCATCACTGGCCACTGTTGCTTGTCTCTTTACCACTGACTGCCATCCCAGCCCATACAAAGGTCCCATTCATCTTCTCTTTCCACTAGCTCCAGCCCTCGTGACAATTAGTATCTCTTGTAAAAGATTAAATTGTTGGCAGAGAGTATTTTCAGATCAACCCGATCTCATAAACATGCTATAAAATAAAAAGCATTCAAACGATCTGGATGTTGTTTTTAATAGCATGTTTATGAGATCGGGTTGATCTGAAAATCGCAGAATATTGTACTTTTTTTTTTCTTTTCAGGATTTTCAAACATTCTGATTCCTGGGGTGAGGCAGGGAGTAGAGCAGTTTAACCATTTTTGTTTAGAATTAGCCAACATGCTTTGCTTAATTTGTATCTTGAGTAGAGATAGTTTTATATTGTTCTTTTAGTTTCTTTAGTGTTTCATTGTTGCAACAATTGATGGAGTTAATAAAATAACTACATTCATTTGCATTGTATCAACCTCTTGTAATCCGCAGCGCAATACAACTTAAGTAGGGTATACACGGGGAGATGTCCCACGAACGTACGTACGAAATATCCCGTCAGAACTTTGCGATAATACCATCAGAGACTTGGCGATTGTCGTTCAAAATTTAGTTTGATTTCCGTTTTTATTTAACATTCAATTTTGGAATGAATGGAGTTTCCCGAACGAAAACCACATTTATTGTTAGAATTTCGTTCTATCGGGAAAATATTTCCAACATGCTCTTTCGAACATTTTAAGGAACATTGTCATTTTCGTCTGTTGATTTGCACCATACTAATTGATAGATATTCGAATGAACTTTCCCAAAACAACTTCCTTTGTACAAAATTCTAACTATGTTTACCCTACTTTAGACACCTCGGTACTGCTTAAGGCACCCTCATTTCTACCACTGGTGACACAAACAAAAAGTGAAGGGAAATCTCTCAAATAAGGGCACAATCCGCAATTAAGGTCTAACGGAGCTCCTCGCCCTTTCTCCTACACTGATCCAAACTTAAAAAAAACTATTGACGTCTGAAAATCCTAGTTGCCTTTCATGGTGACATTTTCTCTTCATTACTCCTGATGAAGTCTGGCATATGACAAAACACGTTGAGTGGGGTTAGGTGGTGTAATGTCATCACAGAAGTTAAGCCTGTACAGACATACAGTAAGTGGATGGTAGTTTCTTAGTGATGTATATAAAAAGGTTTTGCTATGCAATCAAAGATACAAGGGAAGAATGGTCATGGCTGTGTGTTGCAGAGACGCCTGCGTGGTCGTA